TGGGGGAGTATATTCGACCAGAGCTATGATAGAAGCTTTCAGGAATGGAATTGGTACAAAATCATGCCTCTACAGTAGTTCTTATCCCTAAACCCTAAACCCTAAACCCTGTTATGACAGGCCCCGAAAACGGACCCTCTTTGAGAACCGTGGCATGGGGCGTGCCCGTCTCAAGAGGCCTCCGGAATTCCTCCACTCTAAACCGAATAGGGTTTCGGGTTTAGGGTTTAGGCGAACCACAAACCCCAAAAGCCTAAACCCCGGTTTAGGGTCTAGGGCTACCCGGGCCCTAAAGCACCGACCTTTTTCGGGCTCCTTATGATGACTTCGTTGTATCAGTTCTCATTGAAGGTATGTTACTTTGGGGATAAGGTAAACCCGAAATACGAAATCTTAAACCAAAAGGTGAACCTCATCGCCTAAGAGGCCGCATCCTTGCCCGGCCAAGAGGCAGTTGCTGGCTGCCCGTCTCTCCGACCCGATCTGTGAACACCTGTGCAACTCTGGATTTGGCCTTGGGTTTTCGCATTCAGGGTTTAGGGTTTTAGGGAACTCGGTTGTCAAGATCTTGAACCTGCTGACTCGGAGTGTGGACTCTCGAGACATGTTGCTGCTGCATGATGCATCGAAGTATCTGAGTGCGAGAAACTTCAGCACTCTGGTTGCGTTACCCTCTGCCGCTGCACTCGCTGGCAGCACCTCCCAACCCGTGACAAACCCAAAACCTCAAACATTCTGCAGCCCTTACACAACTAATTAGCGAGACCACCCTGACATCTGCGAAAGCTACATGCCACTCCCAAGCCATGTTTACACCCTAATCCGGACCTCGAGAAGAATCGAAATTACATGCCCCACGTCAGCCTTACAGTTGAGGGGGTTTAGGTTTTAGGGATTAATGATTAGAGTTTTGTGTTTAGGCTTGAGGGTGTAAAATCCAGGGGAACGCCACACAGAGCCCGTACTTCAGACCTCTGGACGGCCAGACAACACAAACCATAGAACCGAGTAGAGGGGCCTAAATAATTACCTACCTAGAAGTTCGTTTGATGGCTTATTTCTGCTCGTTTGTGTTTGTAATGCTTTTTCCTGTTGAATCGATGTTTCCAGTGCGTTTCCCTAGGAAGTGGTTCGAACCGGAAAGGAACTAATACGAACATGGGAAAAGTGTTCGTAGGTTGGGAAGATGATGTATCCCCCAATGCTCTATTGATGTTGTGATGCTGATGTGCCACCGACATCAAGCCGAGCAGGCCGTGACCTCAGCTTTTTTTTCGCGCTTGGTTCTCCGGGGTCTCTAGACTCTAGCTGCTAGCTGAACTCAAGCTGCCTTTTGTACATTCCCAGCATCTTTTCCATGCAGCGTGTCGTCAACTTCTGAGGGCCACAGGTTCTTGCAAGCCTGCTGCACTTCCCGATAAAATCTTCATCTTGCCAACATGCGAAGCCTCGGGAAGTACAATCATATAATGACCATTCATGCTAGTCATAGCTAGCATGTAATGCATCCGAAAGGCATACTGGTTCATGGCCACGGATTCACCAAGTAGGTTGTTCAAGCTCTGGTGCTGGGACATATGTATTTTGGGCCGGAGGCGGAATAACTTCAATCCACGTGTCTTAGCTGAAGCAGCTAGCCGACCGAAGCCTTCCTGAGCTTGTGGTTGTCCACGACTACAAGCCTTATTTACCCTAGATGGAATTACACGTGGGAGCGACTTTCGGGCAAGGAACTTCCATATCTTGACCAGCAGCTGCTATCAACAGCCTGGTTTCGTGGGGGATGAACACACCATGTTCTCGCTGCGTCCGGAAGTAGAAGTTCGCACAAGCCACTGTGTATTTCAGGAGCTGCACATCAGGATCCTGGTTTGCCTTAGCATAGCTCGATCGGTTTGGAGTTGGGGGCTTGGCTTTTAATTAATTCAATTCGCCTTTATTCTAGCGCTAGCTATTTCTATATACACACATGCATATTGTTTGCTTGTTTAAATTACTAGCTGACCAAAGCTCATGCTCAAACTGTCACAAAAAGAAACCGAGCTTGTGAGGTGGTCCTCCATCCAAGCCAAAACCAAAAAGGTATCATAAGCCTTGCCACCAAGAGATGCCGGCCAGTCGTTGTTGTTCCTTATATAGATGGGTTCGCATACGTATAATTTTACCTCATGGGTTGACCTATGTTAGCGGCTACTGTGGTCGACCAATAAATCGAAATACCAATTGGGGTCATAGCGTCTCCATATCGAAAGCTACTGTCGTGAACCTGTCACAGCCTGTGGTTCGCCCAACCCTTGTACAGTAGGCCACGAACTGTGTGTATGCTCGGTGCAATCGGCTATTCAGGGCACGGTCATTCCCAAACTCTTGCACCTTGCATAAAAGGATCAGCCCACTAGCAGCCAAATCCTGGCCCCAGCCCAGATGAAATGTGTGCATAGGATCTGTCATGATTGTATTCGTCTCCAACCCCGGAATTCTCAGCAAAGGGACATCATCAGTCTTGTGAGGGCTGTTTGTTCGGCAGCCGATAGTGCCCCGCCAGCTTGCATCTTTCGAAAGAACATGCCAATCCTCGATTGTATCTAAACCGAAAATTATGGCATATGCTAAATTATATTCATAAGTATACTGAAGCCAACAGCCAAGAAACGTCTGCCTCGCAAAGGTGGCACTTCTCCCTGCAGTTGTACCCTGTCGACAATGCGTAAGCCTGGCCAGCTTGGGAGGGAATATGGTGTTTAGAGCTAGCTGTAGGGTGATTTGTGTTTCGCTTGGTTAAGCTAGGCTAGTCATGAATTACGCGTGTATGCATGAAAGAGTTGCAGCTAGGGGTTGCGGACATATATGTACGATGTTACAAACGGTTGTGTTCTTTATACGGTTTACTGTAGGTCTACTGTACATATAAGGTGAAATTGGGGATCCTATAGGTCTATTGTCCCGAACCGTTCCTGGCGGAGATACTTCCAGTCTCCTTTGCCGGCAATGCAGGCCATATGCAGGCGGATGCCCGACACCTCAGATAGCACCTATATGTAAGTCTTTTTACTGCAGGGTTTTAACCGTAGCATAGATATGCATGTACGTACTGTAACCGTAGAACCATCTTCCAACCAAATCAGCTGTAGGAGCTTCAACCCCATTCCAGAAAATGTCCTCAGCATTGTCCGCTACTGCTGTGTGTAGATCGTAGAGGGTAGTGTCGGCGAAGAGGTGGGAGGAGATGCAATGTGTCAAGAATCTTGTGGTCAATGAATGCCTCAGCTGGGCTTGGGGGTTTCGGGGCTAGGGCTTGTATTTCTGGACTGTACGGTTGGGTAGCGCCAAGAACACGGCCAAGTCATGGGTTCAGGCTGCTACATCGCTTTGGAGTGCGTCGACAAGCAATATATTTATAGGGTAGACAGGGAGATAGGTTTATTAATATTTCTTGGGGAGGTAGAATTGTGGGCTGATGAAGCTAGAGCTCTAGATACCTTTCACATTGCTCAAATCTATGTGTTGTACTACCCACCTTACTACGGCTTAAGTACTATACACCTTACACAAAACAAATAAACATAAACGGATGCTCTCATTCCATCAGTGCAAGCTGGCTGCCCTGACTCATTCGTAACAAACGGTCCGTGTTTCGAGATGATTGGTTGGAATGATTCCACTAGATATGGCTTGCCTCGGAGTCCCCGGCCTTCATCACCATGACTTGCATAGGGTATCAGCCTCGACAAATCGAGGCCTGAAGTGTAAGCTACATGGTTGGGGTTTATGGTACGATAAGCTTCCCAAAAATTGGAAAATATCATTGACCACCCAAGCTCATCCTCTAGCTTGCAGCCGCCCAGCAAGTAGGCCGGTGTCTTTTCCAAAAGCACACGGGCCCAACCAGAGATCCGAATGATAGGCCACTGCAGAACTTCATCGTGCGGCCGAGGCTTGCGAAGTCTGATTGTCGTAGGCACAGTTGTCAGGGGAACCGGATATTTGGCACCACTCTTGTCAAGCAGTATATGCAGGTTTCGGCAAACATTAGTGCGACTTGTGCCAGCTTTGGCAAGCTTGTGTAGCAAGTCTGGCTTGCCACCTTGGATCATGCGTGTATGCACGGGCAGCCCCGACCCCAATCATGCCACCCCACACAGTACGAAGCACATGTATAGTATACTGACACACACACACACAAAAGCCACACAACAGACGCCCTACACTCCACACTCAACACCCCACACCCCACACCTCACCAGACCACTCCATCCCACAACACACTACACGACAGCACAACATACTATACCACACCACCCATACACATAACCTTCGAGGCACAGTCACACACTTAATTACTGGACCATTGGAACAGCTACATGCAAACCAGGGGTCGCTTCTGTCGCACACGACAAATCATCTTGGCAATCTTGCTCGTTCGAGTAGCAGACTCGGCCTTTGCAACACACAGTTGCCGGTGACAGATGTAACATACATGGTTAAGCCTAGGGGCTCCGGAAAGGTAGTCATGCATCAGTTCTTGTACTCTGTAACTATAGGATTTAATATTATGTGTAGTACGTCAGACCGTGCCTGCACCTGGCCCCAAAAGCCGCCTCAGTGTGCGTGAACCTGGCACATGTACACAGGCAGTGGATCTCATTGACATCGACAACAAGTACCACGACATCTCAGGAGAAGCGAGGGCAGAGCAAGCAACACTTTTTAAACCCCACTAGCATGAGTGTCGGCTAGTTGCAAATTGTCAGCAAGTGCCTAGAAGCACAGTTGCCGGAGAAGAGGCCTACCAAGAAGAAGGGCAAGGACAAGCTTGAGAAGAAGACGAAAAAGGAGACCGCCAAGGAGAGTGCCTCCAAAAACAAGCGCCGAAAGATGCGCTGAGTTTTTCGTGTCACTTGGTCCCGGGCCTGTTTGAGTCCAGCTATCTATGAAAGCATGCACACACATATGAACCATGCATACATCAGTGGCAAAGCTGTGCACTCTCATCAGAGCTCCTGCTGACTGCAATGGGGCAACGCCGGGATCAAAATATCCGACTTGCCCTGCGCCTCGTCGCCGGCATCCTCCGCCTCAGTGTCCGAGTCGTCGGGGCCGACGAAGTCTTGCTCATCTATCGCCGCCTCGGTGGTCAGGGCCTCAGTCACGGTCGCCGGGTCCATTCAGCCATCGTCCTCAAACTGTGCCTCCATGGCACCCAGCAGCCTGCCCCGGGGAGTCCTTCTCCTTCTTCGCGGTCGGTGCTTTCACACTCCTGGCACGTGCGATTTCATATGCAGCTACAAGGCTAGTGTAAGCCGAACAACAAAAGCATGTCGAGCCACACCTTGCACGAGACATCAGGTTGTTGATGGTTACGTCCGCTTTGGTGCACTCAACAAACTGCTTGACAAGCGCATCCTTCCAGGACCTTGGGGACATGGTTTCGCTCCAGGCAAGGGCAGTGCCGTACACATGGGGTTCATGCCATATAGCATAAAATTTAAGCATAGGGGCTTGGATGGGTTGTCCATGATGTTACCTTGGACCTCGATCAGCTTGTCATAGATCTCTTGGTACTTCGTCAGTTGCGTAGCCATCTCATCAGCCAGCCTGACAGTTTATATTGCTAATTATCGACACTCTCCCCCTAAACCCGAGGGCTACATAGAAGGTCAAGGGATATTCGTAAATTATATGTCATAGTACACCTTACAAATATTATTTGGCTATATTTACCAGCACACTTTGAACAAGCATCTATGACACTGTAAGCGTGCGTGCTCTGAGTTACACCATCACGAAAGTTTTCAGCCCCACATCCCCAATTCCTACCTATATAGGCTATTTAGGTCACATTTTAGGTAAATGACCCTACAATAAGCCCTCATCCCCCGCGCTTCTGGCCACGTGCCACATTCATAGTCTCGAGTTTCTCCTGGCGCATGTACCGGTACAGCGTCTACAGTCTAAATGCATGAAAGCTACTTCGATCAGTCCTTGGCTTCGCTAGCCTTGTCGAGCTTCTTGCCGACGACATCGATGTAGACAGGCAGATGGCCTCAGACTTGTACTAGGGCTTAAGGGGTTGGGGCCTGTAGGCTGTACCATATAGGTTCTAATTATGGGCGAGCAAGGTGCTCAGGGGGTCCGAGTTCTCTTGCAAGACCGGCAGTTGCAGCTGGTTCTTCCCGGAACCACTCGAGGGGGCCTGTTGCATGGCACGAACATTCGTCACAGATCCGCTCCTTAGATGGCCATTGACGTTCAACTGTCGGCAGCTATAGTCGGTAGAGTGTACAAGCCGAGCCACAGCATGAGTGCATCAGCGTTTGCATTGCTATTCAGTAGCTCCCCATCTGGGTCCTCCCAATCAATGTGCACATGCATATATCGCACTGCATTATTGTTATTTAAGTACCATGCATATAGTCCTCCAGTTCCATGCCGCCCTTCATCTCAGAGCTGTTGCCCTTCACTGAACGGTGGCGGTAAACCTCCTTCACTGGGATCCTCCACTCTTCTGCACCGTGAACTTCATTTCGCCGCAGAAGATTTCGAGCCAGTGCCCACTGCCGGCTGTGGGATATCATAGCCCTAGAGTCAGATTGTTTCGTACAATTACATGCATGCATGAGTTCTCTGCATAAACATGTACATGTATATGATGGAGACAAGCATCTCTGTCCAGTTTTCCTTCTCCAAGGAAACTTGAGTATGCCACCCCCCCTCCAGCTCCTCTTCGTCTTCCGTCTTCTGGTAGCGCTTCAGCTCCAGCTCAACCGCTGCAAAGGAACCGTGCTCCAGCAAGAGCTGGCGGAGCTTCGTACCTCAGATACACGATTGAATTAATAGATCGTCGATCACAAAACCGGTCGAAGTAGCTGGAAAGTGTAAAGTGCAACTCGTGAACGATCCTTGGTGTAGAGCTCCTGGGCGGCCTTGCTAGCAGTGATTTGTCCTTTGCTGTTGGGCTGGAAATATCGGCGCATCCTTGGGTGATCCACATTAGCTTGCACACACACAAAACACACACAGACACGTACACAAAGAAGCTAGCTGCACGGCAGAGCTGCACTATAGTGAAGTTAAGACTCTTCCAGTACGACCCATCATCGTATTGGCTGCTTGACTTCTTCGGTCCGGTGTGCGGCGAGCTCGTGAAGAGCTTTCGGGCTGTGCGATCGCCTGTGCCTTTGCCCTTTGCAGGTTTCTCATCACTCCCCGGGGCCTCTGCGTCGCAAGGAGGACTGGGCCTCTTGCTGGATTTGGGGCTCTTGCTGGACTTGGGGCTCTTGCTGGACTTGGGGCTCTTGTTGGACTTGGATAGGCTCTCGTTGGACTTGGGGTTGTTGTCGGCTTTCAGGGGCTGGCTCGAAACCTCTTGGTCTTTAGGGTCATGCCCCAAGGCCGGATCACTTCCGGGTGTCAGCTTCGCCGGCGGGCTACCAGTAACCATTGTTGGCTGTGTCTCCAAAGCATCAGGCTGCCTGTCATGAGGCCAGGCTTTTTTTTTTGGTGGAGGGCACTCGGAAGTACCTTAGCTCACGGCAAGTAACCGGGTCTGCGTGGGAATTGTATGATACACAATCAGCCTGGGCACTCAGATCTACAGCACGGGGCTGCAGAGGGCTGGCACCCTTCGAGAGTGGCGACAAAGCCGCCTAGCCACATAAAGCTCGACTCCAGTTTTCGATCAAAACCTAGCATGATCTACACTGTAGGCAAGGCACAGTAGTTGTCAACGAGCCCGCAGTCTCGGAGCGTGTGACAAGACGCTGTTCACTCAGCTTTGCTGGCTGAAGACCAGGAACGAAATAGCCAGCAGCTTTTGACGTGTGATAGGCAGCACCTGTTGCAGTGGCACAACCCAGGATTGTAGCATCTAGCTGCTGCCAGCCGGTGTAAGCTATAATATCCATCGCTGCAAACAAGCAACCTGGCACACTGGCAGGGCTCAGCGACGACGGCGAGGGCACAACACCGCCCTCAGCACCAATCTCAGCTTGAAGATCTTTGATGCGTGCCATCATGGCCTGGGATGGGTATACTCTCAAGGGTTACTTTCATACATATAGGCAAGTACTTTGAGTACCCAGGTTCTGCTATATGACACACAAACACGATCCGTAAGGCTACTACTGCTTATATATATATATATACTAGCTGCACTAGATCAGTCTAGGTGCCGTAATCTGGGCTTGAAGGACATTGGGGTCCACGGCCATGGCTGTTGACGCTTGTTGGTCAGCAACTACTTTAAGGCCTTCAACGAAAGTAGGACAGCCTCGCAGGGTGTCCTGATCAGGCTGCATGACTACTGATCCTCAAAATGTGCTTCATGCAGGCAGCCACAAATGGAATCACACAGCAGTAGGCTCACTAATGCTAGTGTGCCAGCAACTCATCTCGAGTTCCCAAGCAATGCTTTTGTTGCAGTCTCACAGGCCACAGCTCTGTATACTAATTAATGAATTGTGCAGCCAAGATGAGCCATCCAAAGATAGCAGCTGATCCCACTCGTTCCTCGGCTGTCGGGAGAGATTTGTGTAGTTTGTGTAAAAGCAAAAAGTCACTAATCAGGCTTTGCGGTGGTTTGCGTCAGTTTGCGGCGGTTTTGCGTGCAATTTGCGGCGGTCTTGCGCCCAAAAAGTGGTCGTGGTTTTTGGTGAATAGTATGCATTCAGGATAGCCCGGGATTTTAGGATCGGAATGTTGGCATACTGTTGGGGTTCTGGGGTCGTACTGTTCACTATCGGGGCCCCGGTTGCATACTGAACAGTCTGGGGCTTTACTATAGTACATAATCCAGATGTAGCCCAGCTTCAGCTTTGTCCGGTCGCAGAGCCCACCTGAGATCACTCCCAGCCATATAGGAACCCCACCCCACCCACAAAACCCTAGCCGAATGGATGGACATTTGCGCATAATTGGCCCCGAGTCACACTAGGAGCTTGAAGCTGTGCTTTGAAATCCATCATCGTGTCGAGCCATGTATCCGGAATGTTCAGGGCATGCGATTGCAGCAGATACATGAACACATCTGGCAGCCCTGCTTCGGACCACCTGTCCCCCATCGGTAGCTTCTGGAAAAGCTCCCTGTCACTGAATCGAGTGTCTACAGGCACCTTTTGTCGCAAAGTTGTGCCAGGCTCAAGCCCGCTGCGCTGGTGCAGCTGGAAGACGTGCTGGGCGAATCCCTCGGGGTATGCCCTGGGCAAAGGCTCGCACTGGATCTTATTGGCTAGCTTGTGTGGCTAATTTGCAGCTAAGCTTCGCAGTTGATTTTAATGCATCAGTCCCACGGAACTTGTCTTGGCCGTCCCTGGTTCGTTTGCGGCCTTGCAGGATCTATCTGTAGCTATACACACCACATATGCTTAGAGCAGTGCACTATTTCGGCGGAGGCACTTGTAGTCTGGACTTGTGTACGAGCAAGTCGGACCTCTTTGCTTAGCACCGGAGTGGCCTTAGCTGTTGTAGCAGCATTACGAACGATCTAAACGAGAAGTAGCCGCCCTGGTGCAGGCTAGTTACCAAACCAGCAGCGAAACTATAATCATTGCACCAAGCAATCGACGGCTTCGGGCACCCAGCTCCGTAATGCATCATCCAGAACCTTTGCTTCCAAACCTGAGTTGAGTTCAATATCATGCTGCAGCCGAGCCATGTACCAGCAACTGCTCAGATAACACCAGCTAGAGACCTTAACTTACAAATGCTTGCAGGAAGAAGAGCCCAACAGGTATGATTGCAGAACTTTTCGAATCGCCAGTGGCGAGCCAATATATGCTCTGATGATACCGGTTGCTCCATCAAGAAAAGTCCATGTAGCGCTGTGCATAACATCAAAAGAAGTGTCAACCTCAGCAGTCCAAGCTTTCAATTGCTATATAGGTACATCTCAAACCACCACAGTAGTGCAGGTAAAGCACCGGCTCACAGCCATGTTATTGTCCTGAACCCACTGAAGACCTTGATTGCCTGCCGGGTTCACAACTGTTCGCCAGGAAGTCCCTCTGCTCATGATCGTCCATGACGAGCAGTCTGGCGCCAGAACAAGGAGTCCACCAGGGACTAGACATAGGAGGACTTGCATAGACAGCCTGGGTGTTGCTGCTACAGGGGTATATACTATGTAGGGGTGAGATAGGGTCGACCCATACCAACCATAGCAGACCAACTAAAAAACGTTCCGTCATCGTTCTTGAACCCAATATCCTACCTACCCGGAAAGCCCGAAACCCTGGAGCAAACCTTAACAAGCACCGTATAATCGTACTGTGTGCAGAAGCCCTGAGCCTCGTAGGTATATCCTTGAAACTTGAAACCCCAAACTGACCCTAAACCCTAAACCTTGAGTCTTCCCAAGTCATACCTATAGCTGGGTGTCGAGCTAGCAGTACAGTGTAAGGTGTAAACCAAGCAGCAGGAACCCAGCTGAAGAACGGAAATCCATCGACGAACCATGGATGAAATCATATTCTACGGCTTTGTAGCCAGCACTCCGAAAGAACTTCGCAATCCGTCCCACTCCAGAGAACAGCTCCACAACATGGTATTGTGAGCTCACTTCAGTGGACCAAAGCAGCAAGAGTACCTTAACTAAGTAGGCAGGAGACACAGCAGTTTGCGTAGGATATACCAAAGTCACAGGCTCTCACATCAGCCGCCAAGGTGAGTCAAGTCACACAGGCGATGAATACCTAGGGCACGGCCGAGCTTCGAGGTTTTCGGTTTAGAGGACTCGGGTTTACGGGAAGGCGCCCAGAATCCCGGCACTTATCACAGGTGACCCAAAGAATTAACATAGCTTTCTGGATAAGACTTATAACTTGCAAACCATACCGCTCTGGACTCCCAGACCTCTCGATTGTACTGCCTAGGCACTTTGGGAGCCTGCACCTGAATCAGTGCCACGATGATATTCTCCGGAACCATATGTGCAACACAGGTCTGTGGTCAGCAGTCAGCAACACGACTTCAAAACTGAAAAAGACGGGAACCCGAACCGTACCCTTAGGGGCTATAGGGGCTGTAGTGTTAAAGTAGTGCATATAGATATGATTATAGTGTAACTAGTATATACATATAGTCTTAATATATATATATATATGTATATATATATATAGTATCTTTATATCAGACCTACTATTTGTTTATAAATACCTCGATCATTAGGGCCGGGGTTGCTTGAGCAGGATTGGTGATGCACATCTTGCCAGGATGCACTGTACTACGGCCATGGTTGCACGGAACAACGGAGGACTGATAGAGTCACATGCTGCAGCGCTTAAGTAACACATGCCGGTCGCACATCCAGACTCGATTCTAGCAGCAGCTTGTCCAAGAACTTGTTGACCTGCGACAGCGTGAGTGTTATGGGTCAGCACATTACGTCCACGGAGAGGAATATCTGCACACTCGAAGCACAGCTTCAATCTTGCTTTGCACGGTCATCGGCACTGATCCCCGCCGACTCCTAGTCATCTATGTCTCCTGTGACATGCACGTGTGGCACATCATGTTCGAAATCCATACGTACGATGGTCCCTGCAAGCTAGGTTGCAAGGTTTGGAACGACATTCCCGCATGGCCGGGGGCAAACAATGTCAGGAGAATCGACTAGCGAGCTTAAGGCATATAATGTTATATAAGTCCAAAAGCCCAAAATAATCTTAAGTGGTTCATCCCGACAAAGTATAAACCCAACCATAATGGATCAGCCATTCCGGCTGCATCCGACGGGCCCCTTGAGCAATCCCTGTCGAGCGTTCACTCCGTTGCGGCATAAGCCTCGGAGTAGGGATCACATCACATGAGATTTGGGAAAATTTTGAGTAGCATGCATGTGTGCTGTGTGCATGTATATAAGCCAAGCAGCTGCGCGTGCAATAGCCTTCCTCTCAGACTCATCCTTGCCTTCGGCAGCAGCCTGCTTGAGTGCTCTGTGGTAGGCACAGGACTTGCGGCTCATGCGTGCTTTGTACTCGGCGTTCAAAGTGCACGGTGCTCGGTAAGATGGGTCGCGTGACTTTGCTTTTGCTGCAGCTTTGGCTTTTGCTTTCGCTTTGGCCGTTGTTTTCTTCACTGGCTTGGCTGTCGGGCGGGGGTCTTCGGCTGCATCTGGGCAGACGGCGGCAACAGACTTCTTCGAAGACTTGCCACCACTCTTGGCAGCAGACGGGCTGGGAGGGTCGGCTGCATATCGACCAGCCTTCTTCAAGATTGACCTGCGAGCACTCTTGGGGGCCGGGCAGCAGGATGGGGTCTTCTTGGCAGGCTTCTTTGAAGATGCGCTTGGGGCCTCGATATCGGGAGACGACTCCCTGCTTTGATCAGCTGGGTTCTTGCTACCGGTTTATCGGCTTTAGGGACTTTGTTAAGGATTTGGTAAATCTTTGTGAAGTATGTTGTAAGTGTCTTGTAAGTCAGTCATAACCAAGGAGAAA